AGTGGTGGCGATGAAATAACATGGGAGCGATGTAAGACAACCTGAGACGCCTATCTGTTATCCCTCGGATGCACCACTCCTAGTGGCGACCAAAACGACGTGTCGTAGTTGATAAATTGCAGGTCATGTCGATGTTTTGAGAAATGTGAATGGGATTGTTGGGGTCCGAGAGAGATTGTTTATAATCAAAAATCCAAAGGACTCCCCAATGGTTTGTTTATGTTTCTGATTCGAATGACATTGTACACCACCGCAGGAAACCACCGGCAATGGCGAATGTAATCAGTTTCAATGTCTCAATTCTTTCTCTCCAATTACCACTGAAAAGATCAATGGAGTGCAAAGGAGAAAGTAGAGGGGGTCCCGAAACACGCGTAGTGTTTCGTAATCTTGGCCCAATCAGATCTTCTGTCAAGATCTTCTGTTATAGCGAGGAGTTTTGATAGGCAGCCTTGCGCAACCCTTTTGATTGACCCCAAAACTACTCGTTGACATCTTCTTTTGTTTCCTCTTCTTCTACCCACTTCTGGAGTCATGAAAAGGGCTACAATACGATGAAAACGAAAACACTTCATTATCCAGTTAAGCGATGTCAACACTGCGACAGACACACTCCGGCGTGAGAACACAGTGTCTCTTCTACACCTGCTATGCTCATACAAGCGAGGAGTGCTATCTATTACGGACCCCCTCTGTTGTTTTAAATGGCTTGCAAACAAAAGGCGAGAAGGCAACGTGTGATGAGCGTATTGTGAAAGGATTAAACGAAAGCATTCCATCCGTATATCGTTTTTGTGGCTCAACACATCATTAATGCGCAATTTATTGCCTTACGCAACTCCAGATAAACTGTTGTATACAGAAAAGAGCCGTAAATCCGTCTGAGGATGAAGGACACGCGGAAGGGAGTGGGCATGTCATAGATAAACGAGAAGATGAGTGCTCACTTTGTTATGACACCTGGAATTCAGAATAGGTCATAATACCACACTTTATATTGGAACATAATCTGGTAATACTAACCGGTCCATTCTCGAGTTAATTGGAAATGACAGATATTCACTAGATTCTCGAATGACTGGGATCATAGTAGTCAACAATCGTCCCTGATGCTCTACAAACTGAGCCTACCCATATGCCGTGTTTTCACGATAATTTACAGCTTATGGTCGATTATTGTCGATGGATGCTCACCCCAATTTTATTCTAAGAACATGTGGGCCAACGCGGAAAAAAAAGTGTTGGGGTTGGAGGAGCAGATTTATAATTTACAGCTATTCACAGCTCCTGTCAAAACAGAAAATCCCAGGATGACAAGCAGCCACAAGTGAAAAGAGTAATGACTTGTTCCTGGATTCTCCGGATGTACTAGGTACTAGGATGAACTAGGGTCCTCCATTTACTTATTCTAATGCAACCATTACCTGAGAAGAGTAGATTGATATACGATCCAACGATACGAATATCAGTTGCTGTGGGAATAGAATCGGAAGAGGAGCTAAATCATGGTATTAGTCAAGAGATGTAGTCTAGAAGTGAATGTTTCTGTGAACTCAGGAACTAGTTTGAAGAAACTCTTTTTTCTTCTGTAACAACCTAATAACGTGGGAAAGTTTAGGTAGCTAGAATCGAAATGTCGTGCGAAGAAGAGCTTGTGGGCGTGTGGGATAGGGAAAGGAAAAGAATAGTTGTCACCACATTTCAAACATATAATGTTGTATAAAAATAATGGGACGAGAAGATGAGAAGGGAATTGAAATCATGCCTAATTCACTCTGCAATAAAACTTAAAGGATTGACAGGTGAAAAGGGAAGAAGAAGACGACTTTTCAACCACCAAAAAGATGAGTTTGCCCGCACCGAGACGCTCCAACGCTGATGGTCTGTCGGAGAATATGCTCAAAGCGATACTCGAACCAAAGACGTCATCTAACCTGGTACGAATGTTCAAAAAAGGCCAAAACCCGAAAGAAACACTTGTTCCAGAACGTTTCAAAAATGGAGGAAAATGGAGGACCTGACGAAAACAGGAATTCAGATCGTGAGTGACATGGGAATGGGAGAATTTTATGATTTATAATCATAGGTTTGGCTTTGAAGAAGGAGAAAGCGCGCACACCGACAATAATAAAAATAATTTTTGGGAATTTTCAATTTTCAGAAAAGCTCGGTACGACGCCTCACCCATATTCGACAGCTGCAACGATTCCGCGAGGAAGTGGTGGAAGTTTTCTGGATTCCACGTCGATTTCCACATGTAGTAAGGTGAGGAGAATCACAGTAGTAAATTGGTCGAAAATCCGCACTGGAACTCTGTTACAGTAATCCTCCTGGTAATTTGACACCAACAAAAACCAGCGAGAACATGTGTCTAGCAGAGATATATGTGATTTCGGGAGCTCTTCTCGCCTGGGAGGGTGTCATATCATGTCGTCGCCAGTCAGTTAGTAGCACACACTGAAATCGGACACCCCCTTTTCGCGCCTTCCGATAATACAGCACACCCCGGATTGAGAGATGATATGAGAGATGTGCCTGCTGCTGCGCTCTAAACACAACATCTCCGGGCGCGAATAATCACACTTTTCGTGTCATTTACTCTGTCGAACAACCACCGAGAATGATGGAAGGGCCGACGGACAGAAAGCTGGGTGCGGGAGGTGGTACACGAGATTAATGATAATGGCGAATGAGACAGGAGTCAATGGAGCTGAGCAATGAAAGTGAGAATGGGGTCGAGAGCACCTCGTAAATCTTGTTAATGGGGCTTGGTCGGGATAGGATTGAGAGGAGCGAAAACGTGTTGGACATTGGTTATCATTTGTTTTAAGAAGAGATATGGGTTGTCCACTAGAGGTCCATTAGGTTGAGTGGGAGGAATTTCTGGCGCAGGTGAGCTGGAATGTTCGGGAATACGGTATCAAATGAAAAAAATGAATCCAAAGAAGAAGATGTTGCTTCTGCATCTATATCAATTACAACTAAATCTTTCGAAAACATGAATCTCTCCTAGAAATGCGTCCCAAATGTTGCCGTTTTTCTTTCGTCGGACATATGTTTTCGAGCAACAACGGTTTTATATGAGAGGTCTTTCTGACTAGAAGAAGTTGTTTGAATCATCCTTCCTATTTCTCATCATCATCCTACCAATGAAGAATTTGAAAAGAATCCATTATCGAGGATCGAGTTACTACCGGGAAATACACTGGGACGACGATGAGCAAAAATATGCTTAATTCTTCTCATTTTGCTTTTCTTGGTCCTTCTTCTTTAAGACTCCTGACGGCGTGTGAAACACAAGAAGAGCGAGTTGAATAAACAAGGTATACGGTAGATAGAAGTAGATGGATTCTTTTCATTGGCGCTGGACACAGACATTTGTAATGCGCCATGAATACTCGTGTCTTCCGAGACGTCCGTCAGACTAGTTTTTTGGAAAGATGGGCGGGGAATACTGTAGGTACGAGATACCTTACTAATCGTTGTTGGACTACTACTCAATAAGAAGAAGAAGGAGGCGGACGACTTCTTTTTATATGGAAAAGAAATAAAATTGAAGAGATCATCGTTGCATATGTATCTTCTTGATAATTAACTGAAACATAATTACAATAGTCCATGACACTACGCCCTTTGGGAATTCTTTCGCTGAGATGAGGAGCAGGCGATGAGTTGACATTTAACACGGAGAAACGCGAACGAGACTGATATTGTATAAATTAGTATTATGTTAGAGATGTGGTATGAAAATCGAAGATGCTGGTCTCTTGGAGGATGAAGTATGGAAGAATTGCCACTGGGCAAGACATGTTCCGAAATTCTGAAGTGTTTAGTGAATTTGGAGCCGTGGAGAGGGAAAAGGAGTTTAAGTGGTGTCGAGTATTATATCCACCTCATCTGGTGTTGGAACATTATATTGACAACCAGCTGGTGGTTCCATTCTTATACAATTAGCAGTTAGCTGGAAATAACACAAAGGTGCAATTCTATAGAAACCGTTCCGAAAACTTTAATTCTGGGAAAACGCGGCGACCACTAGGATTCATAAACCCTGAGAACCATATTCTTCCCAATTCGCGCAAAACCATCACATGCGCATAATTGTGGGACGCCGCTTCCTTTGTCGTGGCGGTACTGCACATTCTCCCGGTTTACGACATCATGCTTTGCTTTTATCATTAATCTTGATTTTTCTCAAAATTCGATTCGAGAGATGGTGGTGGCGAAAAGATGATTGATTCGTACAATGATGAGGGGGATATGTGGCACTCGGGGTAACGCTTGGCCTGAGACTGCACACCTCACTCACAACACTAACACATCTTGCAACTAATCTATCCGGTGTGTGTGGGTATGTGCGCCTTCTCGTATTAAATCGACTCGTCTCGGGCTCACACGATAGGTGTCTGTGTTCTCAACCACATGTTCGTGTTTTTTTCTCCATCGATAAAGCACACTTGGCCTGATTGATCGTCGTCTTCGCGGAGGAGCAGGAACACAGTTTTTTTTTCGTCGTCATCAAAAACGATGCTAGTTGACAAATGACACCGATCGACCGATCGACGAGTGTTGATAATGTGACTCTAGAACATGATCAGAGGTAGAAGGAGGGATCAAGCATTTAATACTAAGATCAAGTTCCGACTGTAGATCTCCGAAGAATGGGGTGTTAAATGAGAGGTATCACTGATATCAGTATGTCAATCATTGGCAGGTTGACCTGTCGGAATAGCGTGTCGAATTGCATGTGCGACTTGATATTCTCTCGCCAGAGACAGATGTAAACATAAACAACTGTTAGTGGAAGTATCACCGCCGTCTGCTACAGTATACCACTTCCCCTTCATTCCAAAGATTCACTCAACATGTTCGTGGACTGCATAGCGATGATTTGTTGTGATGCATTCAAGGTGGCGATATGAGTGACAACGAACACATGACGCCTCAATAGAAATGATCTTGTTGAGAAAAGAGGAGGAAACTCCTAATTGACACAGTATCTATTCACTTCTCACCTCGGAGTCAAGTGGTGTTGCGTTTTGGTGGCCACAAGCATTCGGAGTCATCTCATCATCATCCGCTAATAATATAATGTGCTCAGTTCGCTTCTTCATAAAGTGTTGATGTGAGAGTGTTTGTATTGGTTTTGTCATTAACCAAGCCATATGGTTACAATGTGCGAATAAGTGGAGCAGCTTAGAAAAAGAATAGGGGAACGAGATGGATGATGAAGAGAAAACTTTTGATAAATGTGGCAAGAAGATGATGATGAGAATAGGTATCGTCCGAACCACCTACCTGTGATTCCAACCCCAATCGAATGAACAATTAGAATAAGTATTGCTTTTTGATTTATGACTTGACCACCTTCTTCAAAGCTAGATGTGATGAGAGAGGGATGCACTAGATGGACATCCAGACCAATACAATATCGGTTTACACAATTGGTTATACCATATATATTGAGATTCAAACCAATTATATATCTATCGAAATCCGAAAACGATTACCGTAGTAGTCTATATATGTGTTCGGATGTGTTGGTTTTTTGTAGTGGCGCGGCGCACAGAACCGCTCATGGGGGCCGAAAAAACGAAGAGCGAATAGTAAATGACCAGATGTCGGTGTGTCTTTTGACCGGTTCATTCTGTGCTTGCGCCTATTATTAAGAAATTGGTAGAGAAGAGGGGGGATGCGCCTTGAAAAATGAATGTGAACCTGGATCCTGATGTCCTTGTGAGAAAGAAAGGGGACAGACAGCGGTTTTTGTAAACTGAACGATTTAGTGTCGTTTCGCGGCGAGCATGATGAGTTATAGACCGAGGTCAATTGCGGAAGCGGTTTTCGAATTGAAGAGACTTTAGAAAACACCTCTCTATAACGAAGGGGTTTGTTCGTGCTACAGTAACCCATTCTGCTATTCGTAACTAGGTTAACACCTTTGTTTATCGATGTTGGATACATTTTAATCTTGTGATTCTTCCAAACATCGTTTATAGTAATTTTAGTCTCCTTCTCGTTAAAAAAAGAGGACGCGCCAAGTTTTGTTTTGTGTTTCGATTAGGAGGGATGATCCTATTGAAATGAATTCTCGGGCACACCACCAACACCACCGCGATTCTACGTTTTCTTCAGCATATTCTCAATCTCAAGAGTGACTAGTATAGATTGCGAAGAAGTCTTCTTCTTCCTTCTTAAATATGTAAATCTTCCCACGATCCTTCACAACTCGTGTCGAAGCGAGAAGAGGAAACGGGATATATCGTCCTCCTCCTATTCTCTTTTTCAATTTCTTTGGAAGAATTTGTGACCAGATTAGGAGCGAGCGGATTCTGAATCGGAAGACTTTTTCTTCGAGTCACACAACAGGGGGTCCGTTGTCGTCTTCATTTCATTTCAAGATGTAATCGGGGACCCATCGCCGCGGTATCGTGTTTTGAGGTGTCACAACAGATTAGACGATGATTTCGGAAGCGTCGACGACTATTTGAGAGAGCAGATTGAGAAGGCCTCGTTTAATTGTTATGAAGAACACCGCACATTATGTTTGCGGCGCTTCCGATACATGAAAGACGCGACCACATATTGACTGTTTGTGGTGGGTTTGAGCAGGAAACGGTTAATGGTGGTATAGGCCGATAAGCGGATCAACGGGTGTGCCAGAAGCTCTAATTGCTGTCCATAATTAGTAAGATATTCTCATTTTTCGAATGAATAATAGGATCCAGATTAGATTTAATTTCATCCCATAGTGAAATGTCAATGTTTTGATAACTCAACATCATAAACTGTTGATTAATTACGTCATAAACAAGCAAATACTGTCATACATCTAATCTGAAGTTCCCTAAAGAAGAGACGAGGATGACACTATTATCGTACCCGATTGCGTAATAAATAAGGTTCCTATCCAACTATGCGGATCTATCCATCTCGTTTACCACACTACAGTACTTCTCATCTATCTCTCGTCCAACCGAAAAGTAATGGAGTATCAAGTGGCGCGGCTCTTTTTGACACACCAGAAGCGCTTTCAATATTGACTTCTGATATAAAATCATTTAGGTGCGTAGTGTGTTTGTGATAAGTGTTAAGAGATGCCCAATCACAAGTGTGAGACTGATATGAGAGAGCAAATAATTGTTCTGATTCGACGAATCGACGGAAAAAGAGCAGTAGCATGTTTGTGATTAGGATACCTACCCGTGTCGCTCGAATGACTTTTATGGGCGAGGGATCGGATTGCAGTTAATACTGGTGATGTCAACGTTCCCATACACTTTTTAGGGGGGCTCATGTGTTGACACAGAGTTACATGATAATTGTCACTTTTGAGAAGTCTATACTTTAGGGGTACGGTAGTGGGATGACTCCCGAAAAAGTTGTGTCGAACAAGATGACGGCCGTTGGTTTTTCGCGCCCGACCAATCCTGTCGCGCATCAAAATATGACCAGTGCGCGTAACATGTTCGGATTACGGTAGCCTATGGGAAAAAAGTTGGAGAGAAAATGACATGGAAGAGGAGTTGACAGAGTGCGTGAATTATCTAGTTTTTGTTTTGTGAGAGAGGGTGAATTACAGCTGTTGAAACTAAGGTGAACATCATCGGGAGGTAATGGTATGTAAAAGGTGGAAAACGGACTAATGGTCGACTACTGCGGTTGTGTTTTATAATGATTCATGAACTGTGTGTTTTGGATTCAAACTTCAAATATATCACAGTATTACGAAGGAGAGAATCAAAAGTGGAATATACGTGGACAATGTAAACTACAGTATTCCTCCACCGTTCAGTAGGCTTACAAGCAGATTTCAGAGAAGCCTCCACTCGTCTCGCCAGACGTTATCTGATCCGAAAGAGTTCTACAAGACAGCCGGTAGTCGATGGATCCGTGCAGTTCGGCATGGCAACGCGACGACGGTCAAGAAGATGTTGGAGGAAAAAGTTGGTGTAACCATAAATTAGAGATTCATGGTTCTTTTTTAGCCGGAATTATCGAATTACGCTCCTAACTACGGTCCAATGGCGATTCATATGGCTACGGTTCGATCGGATCGATCAATCATTTTGTTGTTGATGGCGAAAGGTGCGGATGTCGATGCTAGAGATGCGGTGAGCTCTTTTCACATATATTCAGTTATGATATCGGTTTCTTAAGGCAGGCTACACGAGTTTTCAGCTGGCAATTCGACTCGGCAACCAATCATTGGCCCACTTTCTGATCTCGCACGGTGAGCAGAATAGGTAGATTTAAGAAAACATCTGTTTTCAATGCCATCATTTTATTGTGTATGTGCGGGCAGGCAATTGCTGTGTGGTAGGGAATATGTTATAGAGGTGGGTGGGTGTACGGTAGTCGGCTTCAGTCTCCTCTTATGACACTCAACACCGACTCGATACGATGTTTATCATAGCACTTAACACGTGCGAGAATCTCTCATTGCCCTGCTCAAGTGACGACTATCAATTGATTACGGTAGTTTTTTGAGATGGTGTGAATCGTGTCTGACTCCCCTCTACAATCTACTTGCTATTTTACCATTCAAGTGGAGTACCGACTTGATTACACAGATTAACAGAAAGGAAGAGAGAGGAGCATCTTCGCGCCCCTATATTTCCCGCAAAAGAAGACCATGAGTGTACCGTTTATTTGTCTGATTAATTGTGATAAAGTGCTGATTATTGTGCGTCCGTATCATCTCTTAGCAGAAGGAGAAGCTAATGATGATGATGCACTTGAGAAGTTGTATTGCACACGGGTGTGGAACCGACTGATAAAGAACGAGATTGATACGATTTGATCGCACACAGGAAACGAGAGGAAAGTCGAGTTGGGAAAAAAATGAGTCTAGGGATCTACTATAGTTGGATATATTCTAGTATGGAATTATACTGATATGATAAGCACTGATAGAAAAAGTGAAGCGGTTTTGAGATTGAGACGAGTTTCAGGATGCATACCGATATTGTGGGATTACGGTAGCTAGGTATAATGATGAGTTATTTCATACTTTTGATAGTTTTTGAGAACAGAAAAATGAGTCAAGTGAGTTTCCAAACAGAACTCTGAAAAAATACTTCTCCGAAATCTCAATGAAAACGGAAAGTGTCGTTGGCCTGAAAACCACCAAATAGTGCTCTGCTTCCTGAGCACTTTCTCAAAGTACCCCCACTCTTTCCAAAACTATCATCACGCAATTTCATCCAGAACTACGTAAAAAAGAAGTAAGAAAATTGAGAGAAGCGAAAAGCCGGATGAGGTGGCGAAAAGTAGATGGAGAGAAACTTTGGGGCGGACCGCAGAGGTTCTTTCGGCAGTGTCACTCCCTCCATGCCGATAGATTATGTGTGAAATGGCTACTGCCGGATTGAAATAGCGACGCCACACAGACGCACCTATCCATCTCATCCAGAGTACATTATAAATGCTTAAGTCACGCTCGGATGCTGTCTCTCAATGGAAATCGTCACCTTTCCATTCTAAAGACACTGTGGTGACAGTACAGACTGTAATTGACTAATTAGACTAAGAAGGGAATAAATAAACATATTGTCGGATCCGTCGTCTTCTCATTTCCTTTCTGGTTTCCTTTTTTGTTTCAAATGTGTCAATCTGGTGTGAACGATCCGAGAGCAGCACATAAAAGGAAAAGGAAGAGCATCTGTCGCGTGTGTTGTGTAACAATACGACCTTCCGTCACCTCATCCATCAATTTTTTCTCGCCTACATTGACGCGGACGATCGTCGGGATAGGGGGTTTTTTGATGACTCTCATTAACTCCTTGGTGTTATTAATCAGATATAGAATGATTCCGAATGTTGGCTTAGGGACTTTTTTAATATTCCGGATGTTCAACGGACTAAGATTTTTCTTATCATCCAGGTCAAATGTTCTTCTAGTTATCCAATTATTGTCAACTCCGGGGACAGTTGTCGACCAGATATCATTGTAAAGCTACGTTAAACGATATGCGATGCAATACTCGAATGAATAACTGTTATTGTAACCGATTACGCAACGCTGTCCATCTTCTCAATACCATGTCAATCACCTGACCACGTCATCATTAAATATTTTCAGGAGCCAACATAGAGCTCATCGATCCAGAAGGCCGAAAAATCAACGATTACGATGAATGGAGCGAGACGGATCAGTTGGCAGCCGAAAAATTGGTTTATGGTAAGTGGTGTAGAGTTCTATTTCGAGAGATGTTTGTTTTCCTTTTTTCGAAAGTTTTCAACAAGTACAGTACACCTCCCACACTGAATTTGATCGGGGTCGCGTATTTACAGCTGTCAAAAGTGTGTGTGAGTTTGGCAGCTTTCTCGATGATCGCGGTGCTGCTGCTGCTTCTCGCATTTACATTTTAAACACACGTTAAATGTTTGTTTCTCCCCCATAGAGATTTTACCCTTCTCTATTTGTATGTTTGGTGTCAAATCTGTGGGATTTTGATCGAAACTTATCAGGCGCTCCTGCTGTGTGAATATTGTATACACAGGCGTTGACAGGTGTATGGCTCTATGATGTCTACGTGATCGTTGGAGTACTGTTGATATCAATGAGCTCAGAATAGAGTAGAAGGGATCTAATTTTGTTCTTAATTACAGGAAAACCGCTACTTCGTAACAAAGCTCATTCGTTCGTCGGATCGTCTCCATCATCTGTATCTGTAAAAAGTTCCGGATCGCTCCGACCGACTCGACCATCATCTACTCCGGATAACTCGATGTTGTGTGAAAGTGACATACAAGAATTGCAACGAAACAAAAAGCGAAGCTCCTGGAAATCCTTCTTTGAGAAGACACCGATTGTGAAGAAGTTTGGGTCAAACTCTAAATCATAATCTCCATTTTTGTTCTGTATAAAATTAATTCCAAATAGTTTTTGATGTACACATAAATTACTTTTGAAACAACGTCCCAACAGCGAATACAACAGGTGTCAGAATGAAAACAAAAGGTGCATGCATTACCATCTGCCGTATCATTAGCCGGTTAATGTGTGAGTCTTCAGCCATATTAGTGAGTGCGCGGGGGGACTGTTGTTTTGATTGAAAGAGAGCGAAAAAGGCGACGACGAGAGTCGGATGAAGTGACCCGTAAGCACTGGAAAGCAAGCCGACACTTTTTGGGGCAAATGAAGAAGTCGATAGGTAATCGCTCATCTCTCTGTCTTCTTTTACCGAAGCAATCAATTCGATCCTCTCTATCGTGTAAACACAGACCGGATGCACTCATTCGAGTCATCACACACATTGATTACTGTCTCCTATGTTTGGACTTGTTTGGCTTTGTTTTACCTATGCGGCACATGGGAAAAGGGACGGTATTTAGCAGAAGATTAGAAGATTTGGACGAATGGAACTATTTATTTGGATATATGAAAATAAGGGATCGAGAGTTGCTAATAAGATGATTTTTCTTGACTCGCAAAAAATGTAGCCAAAAAAAATGTCGGACAGCTAAAAAATGAGTCAAAAACGTTCTCGAATACTTTTCGCATCATGCAAAAGAAATCAAAAAGGTATTGCCCCGGACGGGATTCGAACCCGCGATCGGTTTCCCGAATGAGAACATAAGTCTCACGCCTTCGACCACTCGGCCACCGGGGCGCATATTCTGAAAAATGTGCAACTGTGTTAAAAGGGACCTTCTTGGGGTAAAAAGGAGAGTTTCCCTGGTAATCGAGTACGAGGAACACCTCGGAAACGATAGTAAAGTGATTCGTGAGGCCTTGAAGATGTGTAAGTTCATAAATTTCTGAAATAATCATGACCATTTCTTCATTAAGGAAAGTCAAAGGAATTTCATGATACAAAGTTGGTAGAAACAATATTCCTAAATTTGGGCTAAGCTATAGTTTTTTTTTTTTTTTGTCAGAAAATGCATCTTGTTCTTTGCGTCGCTCTGACGTTTGATATCATGCCCATGTAAACGCTCGTTGTCAACGAGCGGAACTGATACAGCGAGTTTGAAGGAATCGCACGATTATCACAGTTCCAGCCTCTTCTAATTGTTCCGATGTTGTTTCCATCGTGTTCCTCGTATTCGATTACCCCGGAAACTTCCATTTTTACTCCAAAAAGGTCCCTTTTAACCCAGTTGCACATTTTTCAGAATATGTGCCCCGGTGGCCGAGTGGTCGAAGGCGTGAGACTTATGTTCTCATTCGGGCAACCGATCGCGGGTTCGAATCCCGTCCGGGGCAATACCTTTTTGCTTTATTTTTCTTTGTGTCTAAAATATTCGAGAACTTTTTTGAATATTTTTTCAGTCATCTTTTCGCTTGGATTTTCTTCCATGTGCCAAGTTCGAACTGACTGAAGTATTATTTTCCTTTTTCTTCCCAGAAAGACATAAATAACATTTGATACTCTCTTTTTCTATATTTCGACCGCATCGCCATCTTGATGAATGCTTTTGAAATGTTCTTTCCGCTCTTCTCTCATTTCCATTTTTCGATTAAAATTTTTTGGAATCCTCTCGAAAGTAGAGGTCTAAAAAGGGACATTGTGTTTCCTATTCCTATTATTCATTTCCTTTCGCACGGCGCTTCTGTCTTCTGTCTTCTCAAAAACATCACTTTTCATCCAGCTCCACCTACAGTAGGAAGGCACGGAGAATTCAAAGAAAGAGGAAGAATCTGAAGTGAGGGTGATTTTCAGTGTAAAATGCCTCGTGTTTACATCGGTCGTTTACATTCGAAACGGGCGGGCGCCGGATGAAGAAAACAGTTGTTTAAACGACACCTTTATCAGTGGATACCATCTTGGATCTTCGTGGTTTCCAATCACCGGGGCGGCTGCTCTTTCCCTTTCAACGAGGAAACAAGACATGACAAGATGGGGAATGAGAGTTTTTGATTGGGTGTGTTGTACGAATTGGTTAGAATGGGAGCAAGATTTTTTGAAGAGAAGAATTGAGAGATCTGGAAAATATTTAAGTATGGATACAGTTTTATTGGGGTTTTTAATGCTTTTTGAAGCATGAAGCAGTTTCCTGAGATTACTGTAGCATTTTCCAGATATCTACCGAATTTCCTTTAATAGAAGCCTATTCAACCGTCAACTTTTAGCTCAATTATCTCAATTCCTGTGAATGATATCAAAAATTTGTCAACAGGCAAAGCATTGGTGATATAACAAGTAGTGAATTTCAAAAGTTTTAACTTTCGCGTCAAAGTACTAAAATTTCAAAAATTTTTGTGAGCCACGTGAATCTTTTGAATCTCCCAAAAGATGGAAAGTTTTTGGGAGCAACGTGTTTTTTCAACAAATATAACAAAAATATTAACACTTTCTGAATATTTTTCCCAAAATTAAAACTTTTGAAAATCACTACTTGTTATATTATAATGAATAATTTATCAGTTGACAAATTTGTGATATCTTTGACAAGAACCGAGAAGAATTGGATCAAAACTAAAAGTTACGGTATCAGATCTAAGTTCAGCAGAGGCGATAAAAACAAGTTGTTAATTACAACAATGAAGCTCTATTTCTGTTAAATATTTCGAAAATCACGATTTTTATTTTAGAAACGTTTTAGACCAGCAGTCCGATTTCCGTTTCTTAAAAAATTTATCTATTAAAATACTTGACACTGTTGGACTTCCAGATTTTTAGGTAGATCGATTTGGAAACCTTAAAAGTCGTCCCCCTAGAACTTATTGAATCCTTCTTTTCGGATCATTTGAATCGTCCCACTGACTTGCACCGTACCAGATGTAAAATTAAATGTTGATTCGAATGGTACCAAAACAGAAGCTCTAGCTCCACCAGGAATCGAGTTATGATCTTTCTAACTGTGTAGCTGGCATTTAAAAACCGTCCCAAACTCGGTCCATTTTTCAGCTAGAGCCTCGATTTGGATCAGCGTAAAATTTAAATTCTGAATCCAAGAAAACCGAAACATCGACTCAAAACTAACATTCAGACTTGTTTGATACTGTGCCATTTTGAACTTTTACACAACAATGGGAATTTACAGTAACCCGGTTGTTCCTAAACAATGCGATTACGTCGTCTTCAGAGTATGTTCCAAATTGGTCATACGTTTACATTCTAGATTATAATGTTTGTACAAATACATATCATCCTCATTCTACCTAAAATAACAAAACTCAACACCTCCTAATCCTCTAATACAGTTGTATTATGTTAGTACATTGGATTTAGTAGACATTTCCGGACGTTCCATTGAGTTAATCGATTGATTGATGAATCCATCCGAAGAGTTTCGGAAAGTTCAAAAGGAATCCACCGCCCGTTTTTTTTGTCGCATTCATCACGTCAGTTTTTGTTTGGGGGTATAAACCTATTATTCGTTACTTCTTCAGCTCTTTTTTCTTACTCTTTTTCGTTTTGTTCACATATGTGATGCAAGATGTTTGAAAACAGAAATACCACCATCCGTCTTCGTTAAGTTAACAGAAAATGGAGAAGAAGGCAAAAAGAAAACAGTCATTTGACGAGCGAAGAGAGGGACAACGAAGGACCTGATAGGAATCTTTCACACCTGTCTGAAAAGATGTAATGTATATATTTTATGGTGGTCAGATTAATCTGATTCTTATCTCGGAACCAACACGGTATGACATTACTGGATGACAGATGGAAGGGCGCCAAAATGGTTGGGGTTTTGCATGCAATCTGACCTTCATGAAAATATTTTATTTTTAGCAGTGGAGAGGGGTTTTATTTTTTGTGAATCCGCTCATACAAACTGATCGGATCCGTCTAAACCTAAATCCGCAAAATAAAACTCTTTTAGGTTACGGTAGTTGTCGCTGTGCGGTCATCAAAGACAAATGTAAATCCAATGTTCATTTGGAAAGCGGAAAACATTTGAAAACAATTCATTCATGTATAGCTCAAATTTCGATGACTTTCCTTTCTCAATTTCTCGCAACTCTCAAACGTTCCATAATTTTCTGTTTTCACAATCAGCGAAAAAATCCCGAACGGGATTCCAGCCCGCTTTTCCAGGTTTTTCCAGTTTTTCCAGATGCACTCTTTTCAGAATAGTGCCCCTACGTCTAAGTGGATTTAAATCAAGAAAGATAGTTTCCATCGTGTTCCTCGTAGTCGATTACTCCGGAAACTCTCCTTTCTAGCCCAAAAAGGTCCCTTTTAACCCAGTTGCACATTTTTCAGAATATGCGCCGCGGTGGCCGAGTGGTCGAAGGCGTGAGACTTATGTTCTCATTCGGGCAACCGATCGCGGGTTCGAATCCCGTCCGGGGCAATACCTTTTTGTTTTTTTCGTGTTTAAAGTATTCGAGAACTTTTTTGACTCATTTTTTAGTTATCCGACTAGTTTTTCATTTTTGTTTTGGCTACAATTTTTGCGAGTCAAGAAAATCATCTTATTAGCAACTCTCGACCCCTTATTTTCATATATCCAAATAAATAGTTCCATTCGTTCGAATCTTTTAACCTTCTGCTAAATACAATCTTTTCTCCCATGTGCCGCATATTTACTATTAGAAGTTTCAAGGAGACAGTTGGATATTCTAAAGATTTCTACAGTAGTGAATCAAGAGTTCCAGAAGTTTTCGCTGAGCGAACGAAAAAAAAAGAAAAGAAAGGATCAAGTGAGAAAAAGGGAAATGGAACGGTAAAGGAAGCGAAAATACAGGTGGAGCTCACAGCTCCACTCATTCTGAAATATAAACTACAATTCTGAATAAACTGTGGAGATCTTAAATATATTTCTCTTTAATACAGAAAATATACACCTATTTCAATTCTCCAAATTGTTCTGTTAACTTTCTAATCGTGTTTTCCACAAATACTCGATTACACCCAAACTACCTGTTTCTACTCCGAAAATGTCCCTTCCCTTCAAACAGTTGTAAATTTTCAAAAAAAAACTAGCCAAACAGCTGAAGAAAAACTTTAAAACGGTCTCGATTATTTTTATCATCGACAAAAATAAATCAAAAAAGTATTCCCTCGGAGGAGTGATTTGAAAGACTTGAAGGTGTGAAAGTTTATTAACTTGTGAAATTATCGTTGTGAAATTATGAAAACATTTTTTTTCGAAACATTTAAACATTGTTGCTTGTTGCACTGTTTTCAGGGGATTTTTAGATCTGTTTTTTTTCTTTTTGTCGCTCTAGCGTTTGAACCCGTGTCAACGTTCGTTCGAAACAAAACTACGACTGTGAATTTGAAAGATCTAACGATTTTCATGACTTCAGACTCTTCTAAAAATTCCGATATTGTTCCCATCGTGTTTCTCGTACTCGATTACCCCGGAAACTCTGTTTTTATCCCAAAAAGGTCTCTTTTAACCCAGTTGCATATTTTTCAGAATATGTGCCCCGGTGGCCGAGTGGTCGAAGGCGTGAGACTTATGTTCTCATTCGGGCAACCGATCGCGGGTTCGAATCCCGTCCGGGGCAATACCTTTTTGATTTCTTTTTCTTCGTTTTAAAGTATTCGAGAACTTTTTTGACTAATTTTACCTTATGTAGAAAAAAAACAGCATGAATAGACAACATTCAATATTTGGAACGAAAACTTCTGGAACTCCTGAACCACTACTGTAGATCTTTAAAATATCCAACTGTCTCCTTGAAACTTCTAATAGTAATAATAACTGAAAGTCTGATGTTATTTTGAGATTTCATTTCAATAATCAACTGTTTACACCACCAATAAATGTTTACATTCTCATCGATCGGCCTTTTTAGAAGATCACATAACTATGGGATAATCCATGAGCTGCGACCTAAATCGCCACGTGTAACTTGATATGTGCCGCCCTTTTCCGGTTATTTGTCGGATTATGCAACACGCGGGCGGCTCTTTTCTCGGTCTGGTCGCTCAAAAGTTAGAAGATGTGACCTCAATACAGTTATTATACCATGTTTGCCAACACAATGCCACCTGACAAGTCCAAAATAAGCACTTCTTTCGACGGACTGATTTATATCCGAGGGCGAGGGGAAACGAATCGAATGGGGGAAAAGTGGAAAAGGGAAAGAAAATACATAAATCTGAAAGGCGTAACCAGTGATTATAGAAGGGCATGAGAAGAAAAAAGAAAGGGGAAACATGAAAATGGAGTCGGCAGAAAGAGAGGAAGAAAGTCGATTAGGAAAAGTGGTTCGGTAGAAAGTTGAACTGAAATTGGGAAACTTGTGAGGGACCTGAAAATTTTTTTTAAAGTTTAAAGTACAGAAGCGGGCAGAAAGGCATCGATTTCTAAAACTGCATTTCTAATTTTGGCGCCATTCAAAAGTGATTAAAACGTTTTTGTTTCATATGAACATTTTTAGGAGGTATCAGATCAAAATGGAACTTTTCTTTTGCAGTTGACCACTTCTTGAATAATTGAACATATAATCAAAGTTCTAGAATTGGGTTGAGAGTTTTCCCATTCTCAAGCAACATAACGTACTTGATCTAATAGAAGCCCACCCAAACATCCAACTATGAGCTCAAGTATCTCGATTCATGTTCAAGATATCAAAAATTTGTCAACTGGCAAAGCATTGGTGATATTATAATGAATAATTTATCAGTTGACAAATTTGTGATATCTTTCACAGGATTCGAGATAATTGAGCTCGAAGTTGAATGTTCTGGTAGGTTTCTATTAGAGCAAAAATGATATCTCATTTGAGTGATTTCGAATTCTTCCTCTGGTTTTTGAATACTTTCTCAGCTATTTTTTTTTGAAAATTATGCGTTTTCAATTTTCCCCACTGCGGTACTGTAGCTATAATTATTGTGAAAATGTTCAACAGGATCCTTGTCAGCTGCGAAAAAGGAGGAAATAATTTGCATCGAATCATAAAAACAGTTTCAGCATAAATTAAACAATTAGTTGGTTTTATTCTTCGAAATTTTCCATCTAACAACAACGAAAACTATTGTAACCTAACCAAACGTTCAATTCCACCAACTGCTTCTCCTATATCCCAATACAATTATATGCCTCTTCATCCGGAAATAACACCTCTATCAATCACATTCTTCAACTTTTTACACTTTTTCTCTCCGAATAGTTCCTGATTATTTACAATGTGCTTACGCAACTAACTGAATGACTTTAGCACCAGAAACACTGAACAGGTGTCTTCACGAGACACTCATCTTCAGTCGTCTTCTGGATTACGCAACGTGGCAGACGGCTCCTGGAGACATGTGTGTTTATTTTATTAGAGGCAATTGATACTTGAATCCGAAAAGAAAAAGGAGGGATATCTGAATATTTGCTTAACCAGTTAACGTTTATCCGGTGTGGGAGACTACTGTAATTGCTTGGCCAAACTTTACGTAATCAAGATTATGACGAGTTAATTTACTGCCTACTGTGTCTGTTTGTTATTTTTGTCGGTGAGGTAGTTATGAAGTCGGTAATCGTTTTACTTGCCTCCTTAAACGGTGTTGCGTAAACGATCAGTGAGTCGGAAGAAAGTGATATAAGGCGAAGGAAAAGGACCGGCAGGATAAAAGAATGACGTAATTGAGATCTTTCGTATCTAAATACAAACACTTTAACAGATGGACAGTGGTCAAGGATTCTATAATGACAGATGTTAATAACTGATCTCTCAGGTTTGAAAGGTTTTTTGATTGATCACCGGGGACTTGTCAATTGGGCTTCTGGGAACGTTTCGGAATTTGGGTCATGTGTTAGGGATATGTCTGACAAAGGTGTCCCCATTGTAATAACACTTTTGAAATCTTGATTCATAATTCTACTAAAACTTAAGAATGATTGAAAACTGTTAAAAATTCAGAAATTAAAATCGACAATGGATGTTGATAATCTAATAGTTTAGCAGTTTTAGAAAAGTGTATATCAAAATAACAAAAAACAAGAAAAAATGATAAAAGAGTATTGCCCCCAGACGGATCCGATTGGTTCGAGAAAAAAGTGTGACGATATAAAACTAACAGACATTGTAGATAATCTGGAATTATTTTTAGAATCAGACAAAAAATGTAACTTGACATTCTAAAAATTTCAGCTGAGAAATTAATCAAAAATGTTTTTTGAATACTTTGGACATAACGTTGACATGGGCACTATTTTTCAGAAAATGAGCATTAGTTTATGAACTTTCACGCCTTCAAGCTTTTTGAATCGCTTTTATATTGTTTCCATCGTATTCCTCGTACTCGATTACCTCCCTTTTATACGCCAATAAAGTCTCTTTTAACCCAGTTGCACATATTTCAGAATATGCATATTTCAGAATATGTGCCCCGGTGGCCGAGTGGTCGAAGGCGTGGGACTTATGTTCTCATTCGGGAAACCGATCGCGGGTTCGAATCCCGTCCGGGGCAATACCTTTTTGATTTCTGTTGCTTAATGCGAAAAGTATTCAAAAACGTTTTTTGACTCATTTTTTAGCTGTCCGACTAGTTTTTCATTTTTCTTTTAGCTACAATTTTTGCGAGTCAAGAAAAATCATCTTATTAGCAACTCTCGATCCCTTATTTTCATATATCCAAATAAATAGTTCCATTCGTCCAAATCTTCTAATCTTCTGCTGAATACCATCCATTTTCCCATGTTCCGCATAGGTACTATTAGAAGTTTCAAGGGGACAGTTGGATATTCTAAAGGTTTCTACAGTAGTGATTCAGGAGTTCCAGAAGTTTGTTCTAAATGTTGAATGTTGTCTATTCATGTCGTTTTTTTTCCATATAAAGAAAGAATAGCCAAAAAAAGTTCTCGAATGCTTTAGACACGAAGAAAAAGAAATCAAAAATGTATTGCCCCGGACGGGATTCGAACCCGCGATCGGTTGCCCGAATGAGAACATAAGTCTCACGCCTTCGACCACTCGGCCACCGGGGCACATATTCTGAAAAATGTGCAACTGGGTTAAAAGAGACCTTATTGGGGTATATAGGGGAGTTTCCGGAGTAATCGAGTACGAGGAATACGATAGAAACAATATCAAATCGATTCAAAAGGCTTGAAGGTGGGAAAGTTCATAAATTATCTAGGGAAGGGTGTAAACCGGGTAATTATGACTCATGACCTATATCATTGGGAATCACAGAACACGTTATTTACGAATATGATATCAGGATTTGCTATGAAACCGACAGCTCAGAGAAAATTCGGTCTGAAGCTCTGGATTTTCGATGAACCGTATTGAATTAATTCAAAAAATGTTTAACTGTAGAAACCGAACAGTAAACTCAAACGGATTACTGCAGTTAAATTTGCAACTCAAATTTATGTGAATGATTGTCACGTGATGTTTTTTTCCAAAAATAGTTAAAGGGTAAAAAGTTTGAATGGTTTTTGCAACGTCGTCCAGTGGACCAATTCATATCTGACTTTTCGAAATAAAGAAAGTTCCAGGATGGTGAAAGCAACCACTGCATCGAACGAAGCCGTCACACGTATTCTTCATATTGGGCCAGATGTCGAGATTAATCTCTTAAGATTCTATTATTATCCTATGGTCTGAAATAGATGGAAACCTAAAAAAAAAATACTATTTGGATTTCAGTGGTTCTGGGTTGTGATTGCAGTTGGATTCTCGTTCTGCACCATCAGTTGTGCTGTTTGGTTCTTCTGTGCAATGTATAGATTGAGAAGTTGGTTTCTGATTTTTAAAGCTCTTCTGAAATGATCAATTTTTCAGAAGAAAAACCATGCAATCATCCAGTCTATGAAATCGGCACTGTTGTCACGAAAGACGGAGAAGAGAAACCAGACAAAATGACAGCTCAGAAGTCTGAAAAACATTGTAAAAAAGTTGGAGCATTGAGTGAAGCAGAGTCATTGGCCAAGAGTTTCAAAAGTGTCAGATCCAAAAAATCGACAAAATCTTCTAGAAAATCATCCAGGAAATCGACGAAATCCACAAAGAAATCATCGAAAGAACGAGTTGATGATCATGAGGAGAAGCCGAAGACCGAGGAGAATCACGATGATAATGGAGGTGATCAAGGACATAAAGATGAGAATGGTGGAAAATCTGGAAAATCGAAAACTTCTCGGAAATCGAGCAGAAAAGATGGAGGTCGTGATGATAGTTTCATTGTGGAGATGATGGATCAGAATGTTGGAAACCACGGAGAAAATGAGAATATCATAAAGAAGGTAGACAAAATTTTTTTCATTTAAAACTATTCAGTTTCAGCTCGCTGGTAGTTTCGTTTTCTGGAAATGAAGAAATAGGACAAAAACCACATTCACATGGGAGAAAACTCGCAGTCTTATTTAACTATTGATATCGATATGGTTTTATTGAATAAATAGATTAAATTATATTTCTAAAAGATTATGAATAAAATTAAACTTACTGCACCTTTTGACTTACTTGGATATTGTACGAGTTGCACAACTTCAGCCTCTAATTGTTTGGACATTGATTCCAGCGTATTCATCGTACTCGATTACCCCTTTTTAGCCCAAAAAGGTTCCTGGTAACCCAGTTGCCCATTTTTCAAAATATGAGCATTAGTTTGAAACTTTCACGCCTTCAAGCTTTTTGCATCGCTTTGATATTGTTTCCATCGTATTCCTCGTACTCGATTACCCTGGAAACTCCCATTTATACGCCAAGAAGGTCTCTTTTAACCCAGTTGCACATTTTTCAGAATATGTGCCCCGGTGGCCGAGTAATCGAAGGCGTGAGACTTATGTTCTCATTCGGGAAACCGATCGCGGGTTTGAATCCCGTCCGGGGCAATACCTTTTTGATTTCTTTTTCTTGATGTCTATAGTATTCGAGAACATTTTTGACTATTTTTAAGCTGAAATTTTTAGAATGTCAAGTTACATTTTTCGTCTGATTCTAAAAATAATTACAGATTATCTCTCTGTTAGTTTTATATCGTCACACTTTTTCACAAACCGATCGGTTCCGACTGGGGGCAATACTCTCTTTATCATTTTTTCTTGTTTTTTGTTATGTTGATATACACTTTTGGGAAGTCCAGAGATGTGCTCAAAGATATTTCTGCTCCATCATCGGCGCGAAGTTCTATTCCACTGGTCGAAAAACCTCCTCATGCATATAGACGGAATGCGCCAGGAACTCGTCAGCAAATCATGAAAATGATGAAAGATGCAGTCGGAACGTCTCGTCAAGGATCTGATGGTTCTATCGCTGCTCCGAAGGCAAACCAGCTCAATCTCTCAGAGCTCTACTGCCATTCGGACCACCATCTAAAGGACCGAAACCGCCTGTATCGGCTACAACACGCTCGAGTTCCACTCAGTCTCGTCCGAATTCTGCTCAAAAAAATCAGCTCCAAAACAGTCTTCGATAGCGCGTCCGACTATCGTTCTTCAGATAAATATTCGCTTTTTGATGTGTATGTTTCAGAACTTCTTAGATTCACTCATCTAGCAATCCTCTAGTTGTATTGCGTAATATTCTTAGATTCTGATTACTCAATGATCTGTAAAAATGCAATCCAAAATTGTTATTACACTCGAATGGACTTCACAAGAATGTCATAGACAGATGTCGATTTTTAAATGATTGATTGTTTATTAGAAGGTGTGAAACTATAAAATGGATTAGAGGAAACGTTGATGGGCAGTTAAAAGGAGAAATTAGAGATTCTGTGTTGTATTATGCAAAAAATGACTGGAGAATGAAGTGGGAAATTTAGTAAAGGTTTTCTCGATTTCTGTCATGGAGAGAATGACGGTTTTGGTGAGATAGCCAGGCAGACAAAGCGTACAGAATCGCTAGAGCGAATGTGAGGAACTGGAATAAAACAATTTTGGGTTTTTATAGAACTCAGAAAACTTACAGAAGCAAATGCCCATTCGTAGATAATTCTGCATCCATTGTGAATGATTCCATCGGATCCAATATCGTTACAATTGTTAGACCAACTTCCAGTGGAATAGTAAGCCTCAACAATGGAAAGAACAAAGAAAAGAAAAGCGCAAACAACGTTGAATGTCAAATCAGCCTCCCGCCAACAGAAGAAATCGAGATGAGAGAGATGAAGAGTGAAGAAGTAGGCAATCAAAAAAATGAAAGTGAGAAGCATTGCCACACTGGCAACGGTTAGAAGAAGAGTTTGGCCGAAGAGAACTCCTTTGAATGGTCCTGGACCAAAGACCGATGTTATCAAACAAACGATCACGACACAAAGGAACTGAAATTTCGAGAATTAGAAGCAATGATTTTTTGTTCCAAAACTCACAATCTGTGCAATTCTCAGAAGACCCAAAGGTCCCATACAGTAGTTCTTGTCAGTAGGACCACGGGCACATGACCAAACACTTTGTTCTTTGTACTTCGTTTGTTCTCTGAAATACAATTTTTCAAAGTAAAATACAAATTTGTTAAAATCTACCTGGTCGTTGTAGTAACATAGGTTCCATCTGGCTGTTGTGTTGTGTAAACTTCCCGACGTTCCATTTCTGGAAGTATGAATGCTTGGAGATCAAGATATGAGGAAAACGAAGGAAAAGCCATTTCATGGATGGACGATTATCAAATGAATGTGGTGAGATGGTTATGGATATTATAATGGTGCGAAATAGTGAAAAGATTCTGATTGGGAATTGTCAGAAATTCAGATCTAGAAATTATTCTATCAGAGATAAGACCGAATAAGAAACAATGAAAGCGAAATTTTAAGGAAGTTCTGATTTTTTAGGTTTCTGACGACTACGAAACCAAAAATGCAAAGACTAAAACTTTTTAGTTTTAGAATTTCCATAGTAGAGTTACAGGAAGTACCATAACACCTGTAATAGAAGAGTACCCCATGTTTAAACTTTGAGCCAATTTATCTTGGCACATGCCAAAGATATCAGAAAGCGGTCAACTAATGTTTCGTTTATAATAATATCAGAAAAGATTTATCACTTGGCACATTTTGGAAATCTAGGAATTGAGATAATGGAGCTCAAACTCGACGGTGTGGGCCGCACTCTATTGTTTACGGTATATCAATTAGAACCAACTCGGTTTTTTCAATCTTTACGGGAAGTTACAAATGAAAAATTACAAAATTCTCGCTTCTTCGGCTTATTAGCTAAGATCAAAGTGTAGTATCTGTTCTTATCGTAAATTTATTTAAGGTTTTCAACTATAAAAACATAAATGTTTTCAAATCAAATGGGTAGTGTATTTTAGCGAAATGTTTAAGTATAATTTGTTTTTTGTTTGGAAATTCGAGATTTCGATATATTCACACATTTTCACTGTTCAGAAACTTCTAAATTTGCAGTCTATAATTAAAAAATCATTATCCAAAGGTTAAAAGAAACGGAATTAAACACTGATATTCAAATTTTGATCACAGATACCGTAAAACCAGCAATAGAAGGACCGACACACTGTCAAATTTAAGCTCCATTATCTCGGCTCCTATAAGAAATATCCAAAATATTAATTGATAAAATGATTGTGATATCATGATAAACAGTTTATCAGTTGACAAATTTGTGATATCTTTCACATGAATCGAGATAATTGAGCTCGAAGTTGAGAGCTAAGGGCCCATCTATTAAAAAAATCAAATCGAGTTCATCTTCTGGACGAAGAATCAAAATCACACTTTCAAATTAAATCGAAGAAGAAAAATTAGTTGATCATGATTCACACACCCAACAATTTTTACGGGTGTGGCTACTTTTTCAATATTCTCATCTCAACCATCTGTGGGTCATCACTTGGACGCTTGAATCCTGGCTTTCGATTGGGATATCAATTACTAAAAACTATAAAAAAACAGAATCTTGAATTGCATTAATTTTCAAAATTCAAACACGAAGTTCAAAGCGATTTCTAATACAAGAATGATAAAAATAAAGAAATATGAAGATGGAGAAGGCGAATAACAGACGAAATAAGAAGAAGAAGGAGAAGAAAAAAGGAAGAAGACCACACCCAAAGAAGAAAAAGAAGGAAAAGATGGTTTGCTTCTATCGATAATCACTGCGTCTCTCTCTCTGTTTCTCTCCATCTCTTTCGACCACTTCTCTAAACAAAATATCAGCCACACCTTATCTGAAATTTGACAAACTTTTCTGGACATTAGTTTTTCCATTGAAGCCTCGCCTCCAGGAAACTTTTATAGCATGTATTCGTACTCTCCAATGTCAGTTGAACAAACATGTCCATTTCTCATCCATTCCATTTCATACTATACAATTGGAGACGAGAAAAAAACACGAGAGAAGAGGCCGGATATATTTTTTCTCTCAAGGTCGAATATGCAGGAATTTGATAGACATGGAGTGTAAGAGAGGGAGAGAGAAATAGAATACACTGAAGAACGAAAGGCGGAAATTTTTGTTTATTTTTTTGGCTTGTGGTGATAACTTATCACTGATAAGTAGAAGTTTATCATCAATTTTTGTCAGCAACTTACCTGGAATTAGGATTCTCGAATTTGGGGAACACCTAGGCAACAAGAGAATCTTAAAAATTTTCAAACCTCACAGATAAATACTAGAGTTCCTTTATGTGAGTATTTTAAACAATACATGATAACAACGAAAACGACTGACACGAAATAGAAACAAAATGCAGGTAAAACAAAAAGAAACGAAAAATAAGTGAAATCGAAGAATAGTCACATGAAGGAACTCAGCTTGTGCTTGCGGAAATATCTGATCTGAAAAAACAAAAAAGACTGAAAAATATAATTTCTAGTAGTAAGAGTACCATTTTCATCGCAGGCTCCGTCTTCTTGATGTAAGTTGTATTCATGGATATACACTCAGCCAGAGTAGTCAGCAATGGAACGTGATCACTCATTGCATGCATAGCTTTATATGAATCTTCATCGAGAAGGATATTGGTGAGATAATTCAATCCAACTTCCAACGAATAGCTTCTGAAAATATTTTCTTTCGTTTTTTTTTAGTTTCGTTTCTTCTATTATCTTGCCTCTTTTTAGTTTGATGAGGGTGGTAGTTGTCAGTGAGAACTTCCAATTTCTTCAGTTGATCAATGAATTGATCATAAAATACGAAAAGACACAGTTCATCGCGTTGTAGAGCCGGTAGATGATTGCGAAAATCCTGCATCGCTTTCAACATACAATCTCTTCGAACATCAACATCAACCTTCCGTACTTCGACTTCTGGTTGGAGATCTGGACCCTCTAGCATTTTGATTCGTGGATCACCAAGAGCTCTCAGTTTATCCATTTTTTCTTGCGCCAACACTGAGTTGATATGCATCGTCTTCCACATTCCGTAATCTTCGACAGGGATTGTGCCGGCATACCTCATGGGGGGATTCGCCGGAGGAATGTACCTCTCCTTTTTACTGACGAACAGAGGCACTGGAACTGTAGGAACCACTTCTGAGAACTCAACGACAAGCCTCCAAAACACGAAGAAACCCATCCTTTCTTCATCCTCGTCCAAGTTTTCTATAATGCTCGATATTTCCATAGGACCCTACAATTTCTTAACTATCAGTTTTGACTCAAGCAATCATACTTACTCCTGCCAACGGTTCAATCATCGCAGAATAGACGTGTTCTTCTTCGACATCTGCGTTCATAGGCTCTAGGCATTTCATCTAGAATTAGAACAAACTACTTTATATCTATCAAACACAGAACTGACCAATTCTGGCTTCTTTTCAACTATAACGTATCCCGGCACACGATCACAGCTCCAAAGTTCGAATACATCACTTAGCAATTCCGGTGTGCATGGACGAATCACATTGGTTTTGAATTGCAAGTACTCGTGTCCTCTCTCATTTCTTCTTGTACGAGTGTTGCTGATACTTTCCCATGGTGTTTCCGGATAGAATGTTAGTTGATTGAGAGCATACGCAAATCCGCCGAATCTACACATTCTCTGGAAGATAATAAATAAAAATTCGAGAGAATCGAGACGACTTACATCCGTAGCAAAAGAGTAGTGCTCGACTTTGTAACGATCTCCCAATTGAAAATCTTTTGGCATGCTAGGGAAGTTTCCTCTGAAAACACAGATGATCATATCAATATCAGAGGACCACCGCGTACCCAGTTGGAACGACGATGGATGCATCGCAAACATTCATCGTTCTGTCTGTCACAATGAATCGAACAAGAGAGGTATATCGACGGAACTTCCTGTCGTAATCGCGCTTGTAACTGACCACTTCGACTGGGATAGCGGACGTCAAGTTCTTTTTAGTAGACGTCACTCTGCCAAACGGTTGTCTGAACCAGCTGTTAAGTGCATCCCTTTCATTCTCAGCAAACATCAATCTATTCTCTCTGAAAAAAATACAGACAAGTTTTTAAAAAACGGTCGTAAAACTCTAGAGGAATGTTTGACTTACAACTATCTCACCTGAATCGGTAGGCCATATCTTCAAGAATGTTTTCATGATGTGTAACTGTTTTGAGTTGTCTGAATCCATACTTCACCATTTTCGGCCTGTTTCTCGTCTGTAGACTGGACGTACCGAATCCTAGCGATCCCCGAAATCCTTGCGTTCCTCCAAAAAGTCTTCTTCGTGGCGGTGATCCATGCACGCTCATTTTTCTCACATTGATTGCTGACTTCTTATTCGGACTACAAAATGAACTCGCATTCGAAACGGTTGAACAGTAAGAAATCGTAGATGAAGCGTCGTATTGAGATTCCGTGATTACTTGTCCTTCATCATCCATAGTAACATCTCGTGAGTCTAGTATAAACGTATCCATAGAGGAAGCAGAAGAAGCGAGCCACGACTCCGTGGCAATCACATCGTCGGGAGTCAGAGTGTTATTCGAACATTGACTAGTGCTACGGCCTCTTCGTTTTTCTAATTCTTTACAGGATTCACTTGGCAAATCAGGAATTTCGCTAGCAGCCGTGGAGCGACTGAAATGGGAAGAAAGCTGTGAAAAAACGGCATTTTGTTCTGATGGAGTATTCTCTACAGATGACTGTATAGTAACCAAACTGAGAGTTATTCTTGGAAGTTGATGAACGGTGGGGGCAACGCTGCGAACCCAAAATACGGGGATAGTTCCTTGAAATAGCACACTGAAAGAAATCGAAAGTTGCCTCTGGCTCTTATCAACTCACAATTGAGCTTGAATGGCGATGATTGTTCCAACAGGTTTTCCTTCTGTGAGACGACTGAGATCATGAACAATCTGACACAGTCGGTTGGAGAGCATTTCGATATTTCCGTCATCTGAGCTTCGAATGGTAACCATCTCTCGCAACTGAAAGAAGACACTGAGAACACCATTTATGTGCAGCTCACCCAAACGGTTCCATTGAACAGAGCGTAAGCTGGATCTTTTGAAAAACGGAGGACTTCCTGAACGTATACGGCTTCCGCAAAGCTATGGTCTTTGCTAACAGATCTACAATGAAAATAATTTTGAAGATCTTAATTCTGAAATTATTGTGAAACTAACCTAATTTGAACAGTATAACAGTTCATCAATAACTCTTCTTTTTCGACAATCAAACCTTTTGAGCAGAACATAACTCGGAATGGGATTGCAATAAAGTCGATTACTTCCTTGATTCTTTGAAAATACTCTTGATTCGGTTCCGGCACCGCGAAGTATGTTTGCATTTCGTCGGAAATATGAACGATTCGGCATTTCACAAACTGATCTTGAACCTAAACTTGATTATTTTCCTAAATCAGTAAACGAAATCTTTCTTACTGTACAAATATCGCGAACAACTGGCACATAGGAGCCACATTCTTTTTGGAACTCGATACGAAGATCACACTTATCTCCTTTAGATATTCGGGCCAAAAACGGTTGTAATCCTCGATGAACCGTTCCGAGGTGAGGAACGTGCATGCCGAGTATCGGCTCATCACCATCACGTTCAAACATTTGAACAACCTCACAACGGGCTTCAATCTGATGATGTTGGAATATTGCAGCACTCTTCAGAAGAACTTGACTTACATAGATACATCCGTGTTTTTTATCAACGATAATTTTCAGTCTTTCCCAGCCATGCGGTCTTGTGTCCGGGAGCAGCTCGTAGAAACACGGAAACCCGAATGAGCTTTCTTTGAGGCATCGTCTGAAACATTATGAATGAACTCTGAATTTTTGGATCAAATTTACTTGACTAAAACATAATTGACTGTTCCAAGTGGGGGCAGATCTGAACCAAGTGTGGCATTCGACAAAACAGCGCATCCCATTCCGCTAGTCCAGTACAAAACTCCCATACTATTTTCAGCGATGACAATTCCCTCAAGGACACCGTAAATCATGGATTCGGAGATATATGGCAATGTCTGCGTTTCTTTTCTAATTGACTTTTTTATGCATTCATTCATACCATTTCTCTATAATAAAGTTCGAAAATAGGAACCATGGGGAAATCTGCATAGCATCGCCAATGGATTGTATTTTCCCCCTTGAGTACGAATGGATCCCAGCAAACTCCGACGCGATAAATGAAAGGCTCATTCTGTCTTTGCAAATAGGTCCTTTTCGCCAGTTCTTCATCTAACAACACTTTTGGAATAGCGATCCTACGAAAATCTGTATCGTTATTTTGAATGATATAATATGGAATATCAGTGTCCTTCTCGTAATGGACTTGCTTGAGACATTCTTGAGTTAAATTTACAATCGCGAAGATCTGAAATGTTAAACATTATTCTTCATGGAATTGTATATTGCTTGAAATACCACTGCTTTTGAATCGACAACTTCTACGTCACGGATCCATTCAAATTCAGTGCATTTTGAAACTGCCTGTAATTTATATGAAATTATTTGATGCATTTTTTAGCAAAATTACCACTGGCATCTCGTCTTCCTCGTTTTCAAATTTCACTTTCACAGACACGCCTGGCTCCGGCGGAAAGTTGAATATTGTATCTTCTATATCTTCGCGTCCGTGAAACTCAACTGATCCATCGAACATGGCGACTTTCCACTGAAACGGGTGAACTGGAAGACTTACTCAATAATTTTTTACCTTCGTTCTGTCATTCTTCTCAATTTGAGTAATTACGATGCCGTACTTGTAGAGAGGCATTTTTAGAACGTATAGTGTAACGAATTACCGCTGAAACTTGTGAAAATATTCGGAAACAGGCAGAATTTCAAATTTAAGCTGCGAAAAATGGTTTGAAAAATTTGCTGAATTCAAACTCGATCAAATCCTCGAGGAGTTCACAAAGCCACAACATCCTTTTCTCACTATCGCTGCAAAACCCGTCGGTGAATATTAATAGTTGTCCCTTCGATTCTACAGTAATCTTTTTAGGTTGAAAAATTGCGGCGTTTTGGGGTTTTTCAGAACCTGCAAATAACTACTAACAATAAAAAAAAATAATCCGCGGAAACTCGGAGACCGAAACAATCCGGATGAAACTTCGGGGAAAAACTGGGGAAAACTAAAGAGAACATATTGTCAAATTTTAGTTTCAAAATATCTGCTTGGGAAACTTATCTGGGATTCCAGCTGAGAAATTAATCAAAAATGTTCTCGAATACTTTACACATCAATAAAAAGAAATCAAAAAGGTATTGCCCCGGACGGGATTCGAACCCGCGATCGGTTTCCCGAATGAGAACATAAGTCTCACGCCTTCGACCACTCGGCCACCGGGGCACTTATTCTGAAAAATGTGCAACTGGGTTAAAAGGGACCTAAAAGGGAGTCTTTGGACTGGAAAGGCTGTGAAAGGGGTAATCGATTACGAGGAACACGATGGACACAACATCGGAACAAATAGAAAATGCTGGAACTGTGAAAATCGTATGATTCTTTCAAACTCGCTGTATCAGTTCCGCTCGTTAAGAACGAACGTTGACATGGGCACGGTATCAAACGTCAGAGCGACGCAAAGAACAAGATACATTTTCTGACAAAAACATAATAAAAAATAACTTTAGTTTAGCCTAGATTAAGGAATATTGTTTCTACTAACTTTGTATCACAAAATTCCTCTGACTTTCCTCAATGAAGAAATGGTCATGGTTATTTTAGAAATTTATGAACTTGCACATCTCCAAGCCTTAGGAATCAATTCACCATCGTTTCCATCGTGTTCGTCGTACTCGATTACCCCGGAAACTCTCATTTTCACCCCAAATAGGTCCCTTTTAACACAGTTGCACATTGTTCAGAATATGCGCCCCGGTGGGCGAGTGGTCGAAGGCGTGAGACTTATGTTCTCATTCGGGAAACCGATCGCGGGTTGGAATCCCGTCCGGGGCAATACTTTTTTACTTTTGTACTTGATCTTATGGGGTTATTCAGGGAGTCGGCAAAAAAGGA